AATTGTTAAAGGCAAGGGTACTGTTGAGCAGAGGGGGGAGTGAAATAGTAGGTTAAAAATTTTTTTGCTGAAACTTTCCCTATGTGGACTACCGAGAGCCCTGAGCACGACTCTGTCATCCGTTTTTACCGTTGGGGCCATTTGGCGCCTGGTAGCGCCAATTATTCGTTGCATAATTGGTGGATGGTAAGGCCCACTTGTTCCGCTTGTGACAAAGAAGCCGATGCACTCTTTTTGTGCTTGTGCGTGGCCTTGGGGCCTCTTTATGCACAAATTAAGTACTTGAGTTATAAAAACTGAAAAATTACAGTGAATACAAAACATCTTCAGAAGCTGAGGGTCTTATTTTTATTCTATTTTTTCAGTTGATGCTGGCGATGGCAACAATACAATGACTGCTTTCTGTTTGCTGGCGAATGAAAGGTTTGTCGTTCTCACCGTAGGGCTAAGGCCGATGTCATAGTTTGCGAATCGAGCGATTCGCTAGCGAATCGCTGGATCCGAGCGTTGCGCCAGCGAATCGAACGTTGCACCAGCGAGTCGAACTAGGTACCAGCGACTCAATAGTGGCGGGACCCAACTTTTAAAGGAAGCCGCCACTTTCAAACAGTGCCCACCGTCAACCCCCGCCACTTTCAAACAGCGTCCACTGTCACGTGACACTGTTTGAAAGTGGCGGGCTTCCTTTAAAGTTGGGTCCCGCCACTATTGAGTCGCTGGTACCTAGTTCGACTCGCTGGTACATCGTTCGACTCGCTGGCGCAAAGTTCGATTCGCTGGTGCAACGTTCGATTCGCTGGCGCAACGCTCGGATCGAGCGATTCGCTAGCGAATCGCTCGATTCGCAAACTATGACATCGGCCTAATGGTCATCGTGGTGTGGCATAGTGCCACGTCAAACTCTCCCATCCCTCGAGGTCGAAATTCATTCATTCTGATCAAAGTCACCACCGCTTCGGAGCTGGTAAGCTCGTATCAGCCACGCGTGGAAGTTGGCTGTTTATCTCAATGGTTGTCACCGCCATTTAATTTGCATCAGCTGAAACAAAGATGTGTGCGTAGCTCATCCTGACTATAAAAGTCTGCTCGACATCAAACCTCAGTTTAAGACACTGAACTTCAGGAAATTCTCGTTCCTCAAAGTGTGCAAGACTATAACCGTTTGAGGTGTTCTTTTTCAGACGAGAATATAAAGCAGAACGCAGGTTGTTGGCTGGACGGATGGTCGAGGACGACACTGTATGTGCTATACGGACTTCTGCAATCGACTCGTGAACAAAAGCAAAGAATCAGAAAGTGAGCCAGTTTCACTTTTGACACGTCACATGCACGCGAAGCTAGCCCATCTATCACTTTCTTTTGCGTCACTTGCCATTTGTGCGTGAGAATCTCCCGCTCGTCACTCTTCTGTTTGAGAAACAAGAGGGGATACGGTAGCAGGCAAGATGAGTCACCTTCATGGGTCTTTTGCGTCACCTGGGAATGGGGTCAAATGAAAGAAATTTTTGAATTATTACAATTAGTTAAGAGCCCTTAAGGATTTTTAATCAAAGATAGAGTGAACGTTTGAAAGAGAGGAATCAGCCAAATTTGTTCAGAAACTAAATCCTTTCTGGGAACCTTTCAATAAACGCGGTGCTTCTTCTCTCTGATAAACATTTTATCGAATTGTAATCGGAGGGTTATTTAGGAGTACTATAACTGTGAGCCCTCACACAGGTGGGAGGGCTTTTTCTCGGGTCCCTTTCATTACTATCCCATTAAATGTTCGATCTCATGAACTGGGCTTCATTCTTAAAAATGCCATAGCGCAGGGGTAGTCGACCTTGCTTTAGGCTGATCCAGTGCCGAAGATCGGTCCTCGGCTTGAAGTTCATAGCCTTCTATACCTTACTAATCGATGTAATAGTGTTGGTAATCCTTAGGATGACGGCCAAAACTGACCTGACTACTAGCCTTCGCCTTTCATACCATTCCTCACTTGCCTTCATTGATGTGCGATGCGTTTTCCTGAAAATATTAAGATGTCAAGATTTTCTCTCTTTCAGAGCCAATTTATCCGCTTCTACCCGATGCTCAATTTCTTAAACATAATCCGCTTCTGGATTATCAAGACCACACCGGCGACTCTGGCGAGGTGAGTGTGTATCAACAGAGAGGATTAAAATTATTTTAGTCGTCAACAGTTGAATATGGAACAGAATACTCCTTACTGCTATAATATTTAGGGTGACGGAGCCGTTCCCATGCCCGAGAACGTCATGTTCCCAGCTGCTATGACGGCAGATCCCCGAACAGCTGGAAGTGCTGACGATGAAGGTAACGCTTCGTGACTATAATTTCTTGAGTGCCATGGTCCTTAGTTAAGCGGCAAATGCGCTGCTTATCAATGGT